CTAACCAGGGGACTCGCCATACTATATCGTGATCTTGTAAATTCTTGAAAAGTGAAACCTAGTCTTTTCTTATGAAATACTCTGGCCATTACTTAGTAAGGAAATCTTTTAATGGAGAATAAGCACTTGAGAATTTACGGTTGTATTCTCGATCAATTTTCCAGAAATGCTAACGGATCCACATAGTAAGAAACTGAACACACCCAGTAAAGCGGCTACTCTATGCTCTTTTACAACTGTTAAGCGACCTGAATGTCTCAACTAAGACTGCAGGAACAAGATTCACTTTCCTTTCAAAACGCTCAAATTGATCAATCACGGCGAATTCTACATGGCAAATAACTTTTGGGAAAATCACTAAGTTGTAAATTCCCAAAGCGAACATTTACATGCTCTTCTCAATATCATTATGTTTGATAATCAATTCTTTAATGCATGACCAAGGAAAACATACAAACTCTCCTTTCTTTTGGATTCGGTCAGGTACCCATTTCTCCCCCATTCCGGTAATCTTTGCGATCTTATAAAGGGTTGTACTCTTGTCGCCTTTGAATAGATTCTATCCAAGTGTACCGTTTTGAAATGAAACAGGGAGGTGTACTCCTCCAACGTGGGAGTCATGTCCTCTTCGTTGAAGGTGAAACAACTATATGATGGATTCCAAAACTGGATCAGAGCTTTGATCAAGGGTTCATTTACTTTCACATACAACAAAAGATCTATGTATCTATACTTTTTCCAGAATGCATGCCTCGTATCAGATTTCCAACTCTCTCAGATTTCACGTACCCCTTGTAGATCATTTTGCTTTAGACTAACTGGAGGGACCTCTGGTAGCACTGATATGTAGTCTTTAGTCATACTATCCCCCTTCTTCCTCTGAGTTTCTTCAGACCATGACCTCACTTCTTCATTCTTTATTTCCTTGTTATGAAAACTCTTGTCCATTTTATGATCACCTTCTACTCTGATGACCATTTTGTAAACCAACACCTTTCTTAATGAATGATCATGCAATGCAACAGTACCAAAAACCAAAAACAAAAACAAAATTGTGTCAATATATACAATGAATAATAGAATAACAATAAAATATATCATAAACCTTACCCATATATAATCTACCCAATATTTTACCCTCATGTTTTTATTTGGCAATTAAATCCTAACCATATATTTCTAGTTCACAGTCTTCGTACAAAAATATAAAACCTAACTGCATACTTTTCTAGTTCTCATGCTTTTTACAATATAAATAAATAGATTCGAGGAAAGGGTTAGAGTGGGTTTCCCCTTCGTGATTTTTAAAGAACCGCAAACAGAAATTCAGTATAAAATTGGAAGAAATTCGATAATACTAACAGGGTCCTCGAATTATCCTTTGCTGGTGCCCCCTTGGGTCTGCTAGACCCTCGATCTTCGCCAATTATAGCCTTAAACGGATCGAGCTCAATTCGAGATGATGCATTTCCCCATGTCCATTTAAGGAAACTCAATGTTTCGCTCGTAAACATGAGGCATATTCACCCCATAGGTTACTTGCTAAAGCCTATGCGGAGAAAAATAAATTTTCCCATGTAAGCGTAGCATTCACCCCTACCTAATGGGATATAACACAGTTAGAAGGCTCTAAATATCGAACGATTATAGTGTGTGTGTGAGGGGAAACTCAATATCCTTTGCCTCGATCCAAGAACAACCAAACTAAAAAATGTCAGAAATCTAACACACGTAAACCAATCACATTAGTACAACTAATAAATAAATAAAAGATGTATGATGTGAAGTGATGCGAACAACACATAAGGATCAAAATTTAAATATTATTCATATTTTCCATTTTCAACTAAAAAGATGACGTATAATCAATTACGACCTGACTCTTTAATGTCCCCAGCGGAGTCCCCAAGCTGCCGGAACTGTCCTTAAGCTTTTAGGGCTATGGCGAGGATCGATCCAACTTAATCTTGGAAAAATTAGGTTTTAAAATAAATGTAAAAATAAGTAAATTTGGAGTCGCCGTCGACCTTTGGCTTAGGTAGGTGAAATACCTAAAAATACCTTTTAAAATAATTTTAAGAAAAATAATTTTAAAAGATAAAAAATGATATGCGTTTAATCATAAATTTGTTTTGAAAAAAAGTTCGGGAGTCGATTACGTGTGGGAAAGGATTAGCACCTCCACAACGCCCGAAATCGGTACCTAAGCGATTATACATCATCTAAATATTGAAATTGACAAATTCAAATATACATTTAAATTATGATCCTTTTTTAGAAAAAAAATATAAGGGTTGTTATTTTGCACGAAAATCTTGAAAATACCCTCATTGTCAATTAAGGGGCCATTTTCATGGATTCCATACAAAATAATATTACCCTAATTGTTTTCAAAAAAATACACATAATAAATATATTAAAAAAATAAATTCAGTCGAATATAAAATGTATTATTTTGTTCAAACAATTCTTGGAAACGCACTCCTCGTCAGTTATGACGCATTTCTATAAATTCCTCGAGTAAAATAATATTAAAAAATATTAGAGATAGCAAAAAATTAACAAATACGTAAATGATGGGACAAAATAATAAAGATGGTGACTTTAGGGATTAAATCATAAAACCAACAAGAAATCAAGGCAACCATTGTAAATATTTTACACTCTAGGCATTATATTCGTAAATAGACCAACTTCTATCATTTGAGACTAAAATGGGAATATTTAAAGTAAGGCATTCAAATTAAAATATTCCTAAAAATAATATAAGAAGTAAAATGGGAATAAATAATAAAACTGAAAAGTTAATGTCTTATAAAAAAAATAACACAACACATAATGTAAAAATAACTTATTACAAACACTGAAAATGTAATAAATCCATATATTTATGACTGAAAAACAAATATCCAATATTAAATAATTGAAACTGAAATAATAAAAAATACATAGTTTACAGTAACCAAAATGATCATGTGTAAATAAAAGAGGCCAAATCATAAACTTAGGAAAGTTTCAAACTGGGACTAAAATGTAAACTCCCAAAACCTGAGACCCCCTCTCGCATTTTACCCCACACGCGAAAACCTGGAGCCCTAATCCCATAAAACTACGTCATTTTGGGGGGGACTATTGGCTAACCTAACTCTCCTCATTTTCACTTATGCGGCCGACCTTCCTCCCCATTTTCTCTCTATTTCCTTTCCCTTTTTTTTTGTTTTGTCTAAGAAAATGACCGGTGGCCATGAACCACCATGGCCACCGCCCTACGCCATCTCGAAGAGGGTCAAACCTTCCCGAAATTGTCCTAAACATCACCCTTAACTTCCTTAACCCCTAAAATGACCCTTTAAAAACATCAAATAAATGAAAAATGCCTTAAATATTTGATCTTCCGCCCATCGTCGCCGGTGAAAAGTTTTAAAATCGAGGTAAGATTTATTTTTTCCTTCTTTTTTGTTTAGTTCTTTTTCTTTTCTTTTGATTTTTTTCAAACCGAACGCCTCTCCTTTCTATTTTTTTCAAAACCACGAATCTCTTCTCATTTTTCTTTTTCCTCCTCAAAACTCGAATGCTTCTTTTTCTCCTCTGATTTGTTTCTTTTATCTCCCCTTATTTTCATGCTGATTTGGTGATGAATCTGGTGAAAGTGTGGGCTTACGACCAAGGGAATGATTTCCCTAAACATGCATTCAAAGATCCATATTTTTTGAATTTTTAAATGGTTTTTGCATTTGATTTGAACTGATTTGGTTTTTCTTTTACTATTGATGCGAGGTGATGATGATGGTGGTTGAAACGACAGTTGTCGAATGACGGGATCGGGCGACTAGAACAGTGGTGACGATGAGAGTCTTATTCTGGCGACGGTGATGGCTGGGACCCTAGGGTTTTAGAAAAACCCTAATTAGTTTAGGTTAGTGCATTAGGCTTGGTTGTATTGGGCCTTGGGTCTTGGGTTGGTGCTTATTGGGCTTGTAACTTACTGGGCCGATTGGGCTTGTATAAAATAATAAAAATATATAATAATAATAATAATATTAATAATAATTATTATTATTATTATTATAAAAATGTCGGGACGAAAACCACTGTCGAAACTCCGAATTGATCGTTAAATTCAAACATGTATATGTATTTAAGTATTTTACTTAGGCGCATTTTAAATTATGGACAAAGATTAATTCGTTTGTTATTATTTGAAGGTGCTCATGACTCTCCTGATCGTTTGACAGCTTGACCCAGCACCTCTCGATTTATTTGACCCTGTGAGCTAGTTATTACTCGTATAATTCGTAAACCCTAAGAATATTCAAATTAAAATATTATCACGATAATAACTATATTGCATTATGAATTAGGTTCGAGCCCTGCTACAGAGCGTGACGAGGCAGGTGCTCAGTAGACTCACCGACTAATCCATTTTTGCTAGGTGTGTTTCCTATGTGCTATATGATTGTTTTATCTATTTTGAAATGTGATTTACCGAAGTCACTGATTTACTAAAACTTTTAACTAGTCGATATTATGATTTATTGATTTATTGGTTTACTGTTTATGGAATATGGCCGCTTGTTATATGTTATTTGGTTACTTATTTTCATTGGGAAATATGTTTATGTCAATTTATGGATCATGGAATTTACTACTTACTATGTGAACTGTTTAATTGAGATATTATTTGGGTAGGATTCTAGAGTATGGAAGTTCAGCTCTGATCAAGCTTTTAATTACTTACAGACCTAAGGTGACCCTTGGGTAGCCTTTGAGGGCCTCAAGAACTTTCTTGGGTAGACTCTTAGGCCCCAAGATGCTCCCTTAGATTGGCTCCTATACCCATTGGGTAATACCATGAATATAAAGTATTAAATGATGTTTTGAAAATTTTAATGTAATCCGCTAGATCTAGTCGTAACGTATAAGTTGGGTCTAGGGGTTATTTTCAGCCTGCAGTAGCTTCATCTCTGCCTACGCCATCTTTATATTAGACTGGAAGAAGGATGCACCCTCCATTTTCATCTCAACCTGCACCAGTTTCATCTCAAGTTGCAAGAATTATGCACCCTTCATTTTCATCTTTGTCTGCATTAGTGTTTCCACCTTCAACATCTTCTCAAACTTCAACAACCTCCAACAGATCAAATAGAGGAGGCAAAAGACCTAAAATATCTATAAAGAGGAAAATCATATATAACCCCATTTAAAAATGAATATTGTACAATTATGGTTTGACTAACTTACAATCTTTTTCTGTTACATTTTGATATATTTGATGTGATGGAATTAAATTAAATTTTGAATATTTTTGTAGATCTTTATTAAGTTACATTGCTCTTACAATCATTATGGAATTATTATGTATGAAAATAGATTGTAAATTTAATGCATGGAAATATTTTGTGGTGCTTTATTGTTGTAAAACAAAATGTAACCTTTATGACGTTTTGTAATTGCACTTAACACATACTTACACCAGTGTAAGTGAATAAAATGAAAAAGTGTAGCACTTAACACATACTTACATCGATGTAAGTATGTACATCTCCTAATATCTTGATACCTAACAATAAACACATAATTATATTGGTGTAAGCATGTTTCTGTATTTTTAAAGAAATAAAAAATAAAAAAATAAACACATAATCACACTGTGTATGTTCCAATAATCTCATTCCCAATGGTAATCTTACATTCCGTGAACCAAACAAACCCTTACAATCTTGAAATTCATACACTTCTAATTTTTGTCGTTGCATTCATTAATAGTTCTAAAGCAAATAAGCTTTTTAAACCAATTTTCCATCAATGGCGTTCCTAGCCAACAACAATAACCCCTGCATCAATGGATCCAATAGCACTAACTCATACATCAATGGAATTCATATCCAAACAACACCAACTCTACGTCAAAGGAATAACTTTATAACGATGACAATTATACATGAAATCAATCCAACCTTGTACAATATTACTTGATTCTTAAACTTTGCCATTTCAATTTTATATGTTCTTAATTGATCTTCTGTCTTCATAAGCTTATTATCGAATCTTTTCACTTCACCAACTTTTGATCATTTTCTTCAATTCATAATTTTCTATTCGAATGTCAGACAATAGCATTTATACTTCGCTTGCTAACTATCAACGTCATTCAATTTTCCATATTCCTTTTCAATTCATGGGAAGAAATCACAGTACTGATTTACATGACAAAATTCAAATTAAAATTTATAACATATTTCAAACTAAGAACTGAAATGAATAACCAAAGAACCCAAATTATGAAAGAATACATCCTTCCATCTTCCATCTGACACAACCATAAAATTTTCTCTTTACTCCAAGGGATAGTTGAAGTGCAAATCGCTACTTTCAATCCACAGTAACATTGAACAACATTCCCCCTCAATACTGATATCGAACTTCTAAAAGACATGTTTCAATGCAAAATCAAAGTCTCAAACCAACGATTTTTTAAAGAGAAATGGAAGAATTTTATAAAAGAAATTATCGTGTATAAGAAAATCTAAGGCTGAATGGATAAGAAAGGGAAAGAATGAGGAAATGGGAAGTAAATAGGTTTAATTGTTTTATATAAGACATTTTTTTAATGATTAAAAATATTTTATTTTCTTTTTTAACCGAATTTTTTGTTTTTGGGAAAAACAAATCATGAAAATTAATGGTGACGTGACATTTTCTGATTGGTTCATGAATATTTTTAACGGAGTTAACGATTTGAGACAAACGAGGTAACATTTTAAAGTTCAGGGGATAAAATGTCCCAAAAAATATTTTAGGGAGCAATTTGGTACAAATGGTATACTTGAAAGAAAATGGTGCATTTAAGCCAATTTATAACATTAAGAAAAAAATAATTCTTTAAGCCACGAATCCACTCCCTTTCTACAGTAATCTAAATAATGGTTGTAATGGTAATAGGGTAAAGTTTCCATTAGTCACCTTTGAAAGAAAATGTAAAATCAGGGGCAACCATTAACTTAATTAATCGATTTTTTCTTTAAATGTTAACCAAACAGAACTTCTTTCAAAATATTTTAACCAAATTAAATTCGGTTAATTTCGTCGATTAACCGAATTAACCAAAAGTTATAAATAATATATATTATATATTTAATACTTCTCAGTTAATTTGGTAAAAAAAGAAGTTTTAACAGCCTTAAAACTAAATATATTGGCTCATTCTGATAATTAACCGATTTCGAACCGATTAATCGATAATTGAAGTTTGAAAAATCCATTAACCGTTAACCGACGGAACTCAAAATTAACTAATCTATTAATCGAAAAAAATTTCGATTCGGTCGGATAACCGAATTATGAACACCCATAAGCAAAATCTTAAACCTGCAATGAAAGAGCAACATTTAACAGTTTATTTCTCGATCTCTCTATTTTTTAATAGTTATTGAAGAAACTGCAAACGTTGTTGCACCAGCTCCGGTTGAAACTGGCGGTGATGAGGCATCAGCATCAAACGGAGAAACCAACAAGCGGCGAAGAAGATACCGAGGCGTTCGGCAAAGGCCATGGGGGAAATTGGCGAGGGAAATACGTGATCCGAACAAAGCAGCTCGAGTTTAACTCGGTACATTTTAAACAGCGGAAGCCGCCGCAAGAGCCTACAATGAAGCCGCGTTGAGATTTAGGGGAAACAGGGTCAAGTTAAATTTTTCGGAAAGTCCAGGGTCGTTCCTCAACCAATGTACAATTTTCCGGCCAACCAAACATCCATTTCTACTTCTCTAACAACCCATGCTCCACCGTATTATCAATCACTACCTCCTCTTCATAGCTATACTGTAGATATGTTGAGAGATTATTGGAACTACTTTTAATTGCTACAGAGTTGCACCGATTTCAACGGACAAGCTACAAGCTTGCCAAACAAGATGATTCAATCATCTTAGTTAACTAATGTTGGAAAATATACGGCTGAAAAATGAGGCATTAACATTCACCTGAAAAATATATAATGAAATATATAAGTAAAGAATTTATTAACCATGCTGTGGTATTAACCATTGTCTTAAAAATGAATTCGTCCCGATATGTGTAATCGCTACAATGAACGAATGAGCCTCTTGAGGTTAGCACGACTCTCCAAATTTCATACACCCGAAAAATAGAGTTGACTTTGATGGTATTGCTCTTCTCTATACTCAAAACAACACTCACAAAAAGATTAAAGAAAATGTTTCTAAAGCAAACAATTGTTTAAGGATATTAGAGAAATTTCTCTTGTAGTGCCATATGAAATGAAAAAATAAACATCCATATATAGGCTCAACATAGGGGCAAAATGATAAAAGATCCAATAGCAAATACAAAATAATTAATTGTCATAAAAAAAATTCTAGAATGGATATCAAACATTGATATTCACCACTAATTTTATAAGGTAAAATTTATAAATGGACATTAAACTATATCAAAATGATCATTTTAGAAACCAAACTTTTAAAAGTTGTATAATAGGCATTAAACTTTAGATTTTATTACATAATGGACACAACACCATTATCTATCATTAAAGAGGTAATGTGGCATGCTAAATTAATAGAAAATATATCATTTGATCCTTTAATTGTAACTAAAATTTTATTTTACTATTAATTTTTATTATCATCCTTAAATTGAAAACAAAATGGATATAAATAAATTAAATATTAGTTTTAGTGTCATATTATAAATATTGAATTTATACCATATAAATTGCATGATACATTATTAAAAGTTAAGGATTGTTTCGATTATTTTTATTTAAGTTTAGATGTAATTTTCTTATTAATGTGAAATTGTAATTTTCTGAATGTATTTTTTAAAATTGTGTTTAAACTCTTGAACAAAAGTCAGATGATTGAATAATATCGTTTAATAAAAAATAATTACATTGTTTGATAACTCAAATTTTGGATCCCAAAAATTATAAATTGATAATTCTACAAATACAATCACGATTAACAAATAATTAATTATAAAATAATTTAATGAATGAATAAATTTCAAAAAAATTAAAATTTTAATTTTTAAAAATAAATTGTTTTCATATATTTAAAAAAAATAAATTTTCTAATTTCTTTCTGAAATTATTACTTAAAAATATTGAAAAATATCAAAAAAATGAAATTTTAGTTATAATTGGAGGGCAAATGAGACATTTCCTATTAATTTAGCATTTCATGTCACCCCTTAGCAATATTTCACGATCGCTACCTATTTTAAAATAAAATCCGAAGTATAATATCTATTGTATAACTTTTAAAAATCCAATGCCAAATTAAATCATTTTAATAAATTTAATGACCATTTATGAATTTTACCATATTTTTATATTAGTAATGCATATCAGTGCACATCATTAATGGTGCACATCGATGTGTATCACTCACTCTAGACTCATCCATTGTCATAAATATTATTCTAATGACCATAAACAATATTAAATATTTTATAACAGCTGTGAATGATAACATATAAAGTCTGATAAATATTTTACGAAATGATCTTGTCCAAAAAGAAACGCATACGAATCGAATATGACCATATCAAATGGTTCATTCCTAATGTGAAATTATGTTCAGTGTATAGAAAGAAAAACACTTGAACAAATTTCCTCAAAATTTTCATATATCATAATCTTAATTTACAAGGCATTGTACTTTATATACGTATGTAACTAACTTCTTAGTTCAGCTAATCTAACTGTACAACATAAATTAAACTAATTAACTACTTCTTTAATTCCAACACCCCCCTTAAGTTGGTGGGTGAAACACATTTTTTTACCCCCAACATGGACAAAAGATGATAATGTTGCGTAACTCTAAGCTGCTTGGTCAGTATATCTGCTTGTTGCTCCCTCGTGGGCACATAATCTGTCTTAATGAGTCCACTATGAATATTCACTCGCACGAAGTGATAGTCAATCTCAATGTATTTCGTGCGTTCATGGAACATTGGGTTGACAACTATCTGCAAAGTTGCTTTACTATCACAAAATATTATAGAAGGTTGTGTTAACTCCACTCTCAATTCACTAATTAAGGCATGAATCCAAACTATTTATGATGTAGTTGCTGCTAGGCTTTTATACTATGCTTCAACAGAAGACCTGACCGTTTGTTCCCTAATTTTTTGCCTTACAAGAGATCAATGATTGCCCAAGTTTAACATAAAATCTCATGACATATTTCCTTGACATGGGACATGTTACCCAGTTAGAATCATTATAAGCTAACAACTCACATTTATTTGACGTTAGCAATAAAATCCATTAACCTGGATTTTTCTTCAAATATCTCACTACTTATAGTGCCCCCTCCATGTGTGTTTTTCATTCTAATGCATAAACAGACTCAAATGTTGGATTGAATAAGTTATATACGGTCTTGTATATGTCAAGTATATATGTCTTCTCACTAATTTATGAAAAACAACTTTATCTTCCAGCATTGCATCTTCTGTTTTCTCTGCTGCACTCGAATCAAACTCAACAGATGTTAATGTAGCAGTTTGCTCTAAAGGTATTGAAGCTACTCTAGCACCACTCAAACTAGTATCATTGATCAGTTCAAGAGTGTATTTCCTCTGATTAATTATTATTCTCTCCTTAGACCTCAATATCTCAAGTCCTAAGAAATATTTCATTTCCTCCAAATATTTCATCTTGAAGTTTTGATGTAGAATTTGTTTAAGTTCTTCAATCATTACATCATCACTACCTGTAATGAGCAAATCATCCACATCTATCAATATTATCACTATCTTTCCATCTTGATATTTGGAAAACATGGAATAGTCATGTTTGCTTTGGTGATAACCTGCAGCTAATAAGGCTTCTGTCAGCTTCAAATTCCACTGCCTTAAGGCTTGCTTAAGACCATATAAGGACTTTTGTTGTCTACACACCATGTTCTTCCCTAGCTACAAAATCCCTTTGGAAGCTGCATATACACCTCTTCACACAAATCACACTGTAGAAAAGCATTAAAGATATACATTTTCCAAAAAAGCCAATCAAACATAGTTTCTAAGTCTAGAACAAGGTGAACTATGGTAATCTTAGCCACATGTGAGAAGGTATCCACATAGTACATTCCTTCCATTTAATTAAAACCCTTGGCCACAAGCCTATCTTTGAACAACTCTACCTCTCCTGAAGCCTTGTACTTCACCTTTTACACTCATTTACAACCAATAGGAAGCTTACCATGTGGAAAAGGGACAATAGACCATGTGTTATTTAATTATAGAGCCTGAATTTCCTCCTTCATAGCATTAACCCAATGTGGAACCTTACAAGAAACTTTTTTTAGCTCAACAAGTAAAGAAGTGGCCTTTATAAAAGTCTGGGTAGAATGAGGTAAATGAGAATAAGAGATATGATTAGAAATGGAATGCGAAGTGGAGGTGATTGGTAAGAAGCTTGATTAAAAACATAATCATGAAGCCATGTTGGTGGTTTAACCACTCGAGAAGATTGTCTAAGGAAAGGTTCAAGTAAATTAGTGGAAATAAGAGAAGGAGCAGGTAAAACAGGAACATGTGTAGGTAAATCAAGTGAGGGGTTGATTTTGGTGTCAGAATCAAGAAATGAACAGTTACTAGGGGAAGAAACAAGAAAAATTGGGGGATCAAAAAATCCATGTTGAGGAATTGGTGCAGAAGTAGGACCAGGAAGAAGGGACAAAAAATAAAATCAATGACTTGTGGATGAGTAGGAAAGAAACAAGAGTCTTGAGAAACAACATGATGGAGAGGAAAATATCCTCTTTAAAAATATCTCTACTAACAAAAAAAGGTTTTGGACTAAAGATTGAAAGAAATACAGCTTTTTTTAATAGTAGAATAACTCATGAAAATAGATAAGAGAGCTCTAGAAGAAAACTTATCATGTCAATTTGTATTTGTGGCATAACACAAGAAACCAAAAACCCTCAAAGGAGACAAATTTGGTATTTTATTGTATAGAACTCCAAAAGGTGATTTCTAACCCAACACACTAGAATGTGGTATATTAATTAAGTAACATGCTATAGTGACACATTCTCCTAAGAACTTAATAGGCACTTTTGAATGAAAACGAATACCTCGAGCCACTTCTAAGACATGCCTATGTTTTCTTTCAGTAATTTTGCTGCGGAGTACGAACACAAGAACGTTGATGTGTAATCCCTATAGTGGAAAACAAACTGGACAGGCTGAACCAATGAACTCATATCCATTATCACTATGGACAGACTTAACAACAGTCAAAAAATGATTTTTAATGAAGGCAAAAAGGGTTTTAACAACTGACAAAGTCTCACTCTTAAATTTCAGTAAGTAGACCCAGGTCATGCGACTATAGTCATCAACAACCGCGAGAAAATATCGATGCCTACTATGAGTTGAAATTCGATATGCACCTCATAAGTCCATATGAATAAGGGTAAAATGTGTAGTTTATCTAGTTTAGCTAGTAGGAAATGGCAACCTTGTTTATTTTACAAGAAGACAAATATAACACTTATGTAAGGAATCTGCATCAAGTATGACATGTTGTTAAAAAGACAATCTATTCATTTTTAACAAAGAAGTAT